GCCATAAATATAATTATACATTTTATATTATACATATATGTAAAAATTTAATTACCTCTTCATGCCATATCTTTAAACTATTAATATTTATATAATCTTGAATATATTGAAAAGATTTACGATAACCATCCATAATTGCGGCTAAATTATTAAGTTTCTGTAATATCGGTATCTAAAACGATACATAAAAAATATCTAATTATTAATATTCGAGTAAAAAAAATTGTAAACATTATTTAGAACTTACTTTTGATTTTGATTCGAAAACAAGACCATTATCCAAGGCTACTGTTACTTTCTTTACCAATTCTTGTCGTATACCATCTTCTAATAAGCGATGGGAATCAACTCTCAACACTCCCAAGGGAACACTTCTCAAGGATAATACACCTTTCGTAAATACTGACACAGCATACGTCAACTTAGCCATCTAGAACAGAGTTAGATCTTTACACTAAATATATTATTATGAAATCATTTGTTATGAAATCATTATTTATCATCATTATTTGAAGCATAAAAAAATATTAGAAATTGAAGAATACTTTTAATCTATCATCTAATTGTGCATATTCTTTTAATTTATCTTTCGGTAATCTAGTAGGAATTTCCTTGAAAGCATTTGTCTCAAGATGTACGATCTCAGCGAGTAAACCAAATACAGTTTCTGGTATTATTTGTAAGACACGTCTTGCATATTTTTCTAATTCTCTACTATAGTATTGAGATACTGATGATAGATCTGCACTACGTGCTTGATTCACTCTCAATAACGGTGTTTCCAACGCCGAAGCCATCTGAAATGGAATAAGATATAAATATTTCCATAACAAAATATATACAGTTTACTAAATAATGTCAAGTACAAAAAAATAGGAATTTACTTTTAAAAACAATGCTTTTAATTTAATTACAGTAGGAGGACATTCTTTTATGCTAGCTTGCATCGTTTCAATAAAAGATTCCATTATATTCCATGCATAGCAACAATCTGTCACTATATTTAAACTGATCATAGTGTCTTCTGTGATACTTCCTGTACGTAACATATTGTGCAATATCTCCCGTGTATCAGCTAAATACTGAGATATATGTAAATTATTTTCCAACTGATGGAATTCTAAAATCATTTCAATTCAAATAATAATTTGTTATAAATCAATGTAATTCACTGAATTCTTTTATTCTATATACTGTTGCAATTACCTTGCACTTCTTCCAATGCCGGTAACAATTGTGCTATTTTCCTTCCATCTTCTTGTTGTAGAGAGTCAATGTGTTTGCTAATTTCCATAAACCATGCATGTAGATTTTGATTTTTTTCAATACCATCAAGAGATTTATTACCTCCAAATATTTGCGCAAGGTCTATTATTCTCTCAACGCATATTCCTTTATCCCTGAGCCATTTAGTTTCTTTACCAAATAACAACTAAAATTAATTGATGAAATTTATTATACAACAGATCATAGATTTTATGTTAATATAAAAAATATTGTACTCGTACATCTTTGTATAATTGTTTGACATCCTGTTCAATCTGAGCTGTACTTAGTAATAGTTGAAGACAGTCAACTGTCGTATATTTACTTTCATTCACTACTAACTGCCTGAGCATACGCGAACGTTTCGAATCCTCTAGCGATATAGTCGACATTGCTGTATGTAAAAGTATCCAGTGCAAAGTCACGTTACATTCTTTAACTAACTTTACGAGTGACCCTACTGCACTGTCATCTAAAGTGCCTGCTAATTGTACTTCCTCTGTTTCTGATATCAATTTCTGAAATATATTTTTAATATAAAATATACATAGAAAAATATGGTCCATTAATTTGAAACATACATTCACAAACGGGAAACATAATTACCTTCATTTTCTGACCATACTTATGCGCAATTACTTTAACATTAGAAGAGTCAAGTGTATTATTAAGAGCTGTTCTTGCAGCCTTATATGGAGACCACCAATCACATAAATTTATTACTATTCCCATGTAAATGCTAATGACCCAATTATCAGGGAAGAATCTATCTACTATCTCTCTCATCATGGCTGTATGTGAATGTAACATGCTTGGTTTAAATGATAAAATAACAACCAACATTGAAGCTTGATTAGAAAGTGCAGTACTACGATGTTCTGGATGTGGAAAAGCAAGACTTTGATTATATATTTCATCTGAACGTAAACGTCCAATAAGATGTTCTATCAGAGAGTCATTCAATAATATTCTCCTAAAAAAAAAACATTCATACAGAAAGGTATCAAAGGTATTGGAAACTTAACAAAATTGAATAACTCACTTAAAATATTCCTCAGGATAATTCGCAGGTCTCTTGTTGGAATTTTTAGAAAATCCTGTTGAACGAAGTAACATACATATGTCGTCTACACTTGTTGAAGATGACCGTTGTGCATTATATCGATAATAGGATACCAACAGTCTTTCTCTTATACATCCTTTGAAATGGTAATCCACCAGAAGTAGCATAACTCCATATAAATATACTGCTTCACACTATAAATATAAATTATATTCAAATTTATATAGTACATAAACACGTTAAAAATCCTATAAACTAAAAATCTTGTGTTAAAAGAAGAAGGGATTTAATGATAATAATGCTTTACTGCAGTACCATTAATTGCCGTCCTTCCTCATTTAGCATGATAGAATCTATAGATTGATGAATATAAATTCCATCTCCCAATTCATCTACGTATGTGTTTAAATCAGTAACATACTTGTGTATGCTTTCAAATGCCAAATAAAATCTAGAAATTATATCCGAATAATTGTTTCGTAAATCCTCATCAGTTTCTTGAAGAATCTATATAAAAACACACACACACACACACACACATTATAGCTATTTATTATGAATATCAAAATTATATTATGTGAAAATCAAGCTCAATAAAGATGAAAGTATAATTATTTATATTAACTTATATGTCATTTTGTTTACTTACTGGATCATTTTCTATTTTTTGCTCATAAACATTAACCGATTTAAAATATGCAAAATCGATTATAATAGAACCATACTTTTGTATTATCTGTTTTGAATCCAAACTGTAAAACGGTAGGAGTATGTCAATTTCAACAGGAAATCAAGATCTAATAATTATTATAAGAATAATATTTATTTTGTTCATAATTGGTAATAATAATAAATAACCTAAATACTGTTGGCACATAATCCTTTAATCTCATCAATTCAGCTATAATAGCATTTCCACGGGACACCAAACGTAATAAATTTTGACCGCAAATATTGTTAGTCGCCAAGAAATCACCCATTTTACAGAACTGTCTATTTTAATAAAAACAGCGAATAAGCCATTGACATTTCGGTAATAACAAACGTCAACGTTCACGTTGGAGTTGAAAGGCTGTATCAAAAAGACCTGTTAAGGAAATACAACATATAGGTACGTATACAACATGAACTTGCAATTTATAAATTAAAGTCACCAAAGTATGTAAAAATACTATAAAGAAAATAAATGAATTCAAATACAGAATGTTCTATCAATTCTTGAAATACATACATAGTGTTAAAAATTGTATTGTATTTGTGTGCTTATGTATATGTAGAGTATATGCTGGTTATATGTATATACATGAAAATAACACTTCGACTCTACATACGTACAATTAGACGGACGATGTATCAGACTAGACCATACACCCATATGGGATTACGTCACTGTGATGTATGTATATGTGTATATCTGTGATTACATATATATTACACTTTCTGAAATACCGGCAGTGTCGGTTCGATACCGACATCGCTCAAATTCAATGTCACGCGCCCTCTACCCGGATAGTGTAGTCAGCTAGTTGCAGCTACATGTTTATAAATGAAAGTAATATTTTATTTATTTTATGAAACAAATAAATAAGAATTAAGCGTGTATTAATAAAAAGAAAAGTTTGCAACAAACTTTTATTATAAACTTCCGTGATTGAATATAAAAGTACTACGATCTAGGAACGTTGCTATGTAAAAATGTTTAATCTTCTGTATTTGAGAACCAGTTGTACAAGAATAAATGTAATTAACAAATTACAATTTGTTTATCAAGGACTGAAGGGGAATAGTAAAGTTAAAGACTGTACATTTTATAAGAAATATCATACTTCCCTTAAAAATTCTAGCGAAGTAACTGGCTCAAGGTAACATAGTAAAAATATTTATAAAATAAAAATTAATTTTGTTTTTAATGTATTCAGACAAGAGAGCTATAGTTTTTTCTTATAGATACAAAATATCAGATTCACAATCAAAGAAGGAAATAGACACCTTAAATCCAAATACAAATATACAAAACAATGTATTACTATACAAGCGGGAAAGTTATGCTTTTTATTTCCTGAGATTTGTTGGATTTGGGTCATTGATATTAGCTATACGGTTGGCGTATAGGTTGTATAATGAAAAAGTTAAAGATACTTGGAAAACATCTACATCTATAAAAGAAAATATAAGAATTAATGGATTCAATATTCTATTTTTGATCTATGGAGCATTGACAGGTACTTTTATTTTTATATTATGTTTAACTATATTACAAGTATTATAAATATCAATGTAAAATTTTTATTCTTTTTACATTTAGGACCTCTGATACTTTGGACTGTATATATAATATGTAGTAGATATGTAAAATATATTATTTTACATAAGGGAGGTAAAGAAGTATCTATAATTACTTATCATTTATTTAAAGAAGAAGCAGCTCTAAAAATTCCTACACGTGAGGTAATTGTTAAAACATTTGT